CGGCCCTTGGTTTGTCTACAGGGAGATAATCGATTTTTACGATTCTAGCAATCTGAGCATATAATAGAAACATTATAATTATTTATATTAGTTTTGTGGAATCAAATGAGTATTTTAATAGTAAGCTGTAAGAATGTTTCTGGAATTTATCAATTGCATTAAGATCACATTAATTTTAGTATCGTCTGAAGTTTAAGTAATATTAATATAGATAAAGATCAGTGAGCCGCTATCAGAATTTTTAACTCATAGATAGCTTCGTTTTTTTTTCAATTGATAACAATATATTATACAATATAATATTTCAGAAAAGGTACTACAAGTGCAGATGTAGATCTTCAATCAGATGATAGTAGCATAGAGCTTTTTTGCACCAAGCGCACATTAATAGTGTTCGTTCACTACAATTGATAATTGAACAATACAGATCATAATACTTGAAACAAATGTCTTTTGGTTTTTCAATCTGTCCAATTGTTTCATTTGTTATTTGAGCTTGTATGAATCCACTCTTAATGAGATTTTTAAATGGTGGAGCTGATAATTGATTATGAATAACAGAATGTATGTTGATAAAATATTGACGATCACTTATAGTTGTTTCTGCTCGGTTAATATGAGTATAATGTGCGATTTTTTCATGAATAAATCGCCATGATCGAAATAAGGGAAGGTCCTCTGGTTGAATATAACCGGTCGATCCTTCAGGGAAAATCAATAATTGACTGTCTTGATGAGGAAATACTGCTCTAAATTTTGTTAGATCAGCTTGAGTTTTCCAAGCATCAAGGAAAAGAAGAAATTTTTTATCAACAAATGGACGTAGAACTTCATTTAAAAAGACATGATGATTTTCGTCATTGCTTTTTCCTGATTTTGAAGCTCTTACTACAACATTTGGTGGTATTATTAAATTTTTTTGTACTCTTTTACCTAGTGTGTTTTCTTTTTCTTGAAGTATAAGTAAAAACTTGGCTAATAAAAGACCGTTAGCTGATGTTACCGGTTGAATTGTATAAGAATGTGTGATATTATATTTCTTTTTAACAACTACTTCAGTTGTTCTTTCACCAGTACAAGAAAGAGTTCTTGGTGGAATATATTCTTGTTGAAATGAACAGTGATCGCTATTTAAAATTTGATGAGAAGGATACTTTGCTATTAAAGTTCTTTTACTGTCAATCCAATTGTGAGCATCTAAAAAATATACGTATATTACATTAAGATATGTGAATTTAAAGACCTAATAAGTTTATGTACCATTTAAACTACAATTTTTTCTATTTGTCTTAGTTCGAGTAATAATTTTGTTGTATCTTCTTGATGATATTCTGTTTTCCTTTTTAAACGTGTTGATAAATGATTTGCCTGCCTCGAAAGTATCCAAATTTAATTCTCTTGCTTTTTGAATAGCATATAATTCTAGGTCAGCATCATGAACGAATTCTTTTTCAATCGCTCTTTTTAGATAAAATTCATTAAACATAGACTCTTTAATTTGTTTTAATTTTTCTAATCTTGTGCCGTTGTTCTCGATATACTGTCGAAACCTTGTAATATAATACATGTATTTGACCTTTTTAAATCTATGTGAAATGGTTGCAAGTCTAGCATTCGGATGTTCGTCAACCCATTCGACTATACGTCACATTTCTTCTAATGTAAAATGATCATTTATATCAGAATGTTCGTTTTCATTGTAGTCATTAATATCATCATTACTCGATTCTTCGTCAGTCATTTCATCATATTCATCGTCGAAATCGAGAGTGTCATACGCATACAGTTCAGTGAAGTAGCTGACATTTATAGATTTTAAAACTTCGAATAACCGTTCTGCAGCAAAAATTTCATCCGTTGTTGTTGGAGAATTTTCTGAATCATATTCATTTTCAGTCAAGTGAAGAATATGTTTAACAATATTCAATAAATTCATATTTTAATATTGTGAAATAAATCTTGTTATATATTAGATATAGCAGTAAACAAAACAAGAATAATTATTAGGTAATGGTTATATTTCTTTGTGATATCTTAACAGCAATCGAACAGAGATTATCAGTTTAAATGCCAAGTGATGCATTAATGCACTTTAAATTCAAATATTAAATATGCTGGTCATGCTTCAGACATATCATTTTTTTTTCTTTTATCTCGATAATGCCTCGACTTTAGACGATACTAAAATTAATGTGATCTTAATGCAATTGATAAATTTCAGAAACATTCTTATAGCTTACTATTAAAATACTCATTTGATTCCACAAAACTAATATAAATAATTATACTGTTTCTATTATATGCTCAGATTGTTAGAATCGTAAAAATCGATTATCTCCCTGTAGACAAACCAAGGGCCG